ACAAAATACAAGCATTCTCTTAACTCAGTATAATCATCGATATTAAACAAATTTATATTTGATAGATAGTAATTTTAAAGAATCGTCGCGTTGTAAAAATGGCGGAATCGTTTTCGTGGAAAAGATCAAGTGTTTTATTTCTCTTATCAATTTCCTTTCGTATGAAAGATCTCGATACCGAGTCGTTTATAGAGGAACATATATATTAAAAAGAATAAAGAGAAGATAATATACCTTCGTCGAAGTTATATCCACTTTGTCCATCGCGTTATCTTTACAATCTGCATCTTGCTTCCCCTGATTCTTGTTCTTCCCCGATGAATCGATCACAATGTTAACGTGAACGCGATTACTGGCCGAAGTCGATTCGTACCGTCGTTGTGGCGGCGCAGAGCTAGTCCTTCTAGATTTCTGATCGATCTTCTGGTGTTCTGTCGTCTTCTTCAACGGTGGATCCCTCTCGTTCACCGAGCTACATCTCACTTCCGACGAATTCTTTGAAAATGTAGCTTTATCGATCGTAGAACTGTCTTTATGCTCGGTGCTGCTCGGCAGAGTTTCTCCAATCAATTTAAATTCGTCCGCTTCGTTTGTTTTTCGAGTCGTCGTTTCATCGTCTGCCGCAGCATTCTTCGTTTCGATCACTGTTTTCATCCGCTCGTTTTCCTCCGTTACGCAAGACAGTTTACCATCTGTAACAATTCCTTCCATTATGCCCTTTTCACCAGTCAAATCGCATCGAAATTCAGGGACGTTTTCTTCTGGCACGGCTCTTTCATTAGTAACATTCTCTTTATTCTCTACAGTCGTACGAATCAAAGGACTTCTCTCCACAGTGGCACGATTATTAATTGCTGACTTTTGCGGTACGTTTTTATCCGACGTGGAATTCCATCTGAATTCCGTTGGCGATCTAATTGGGTCGAGGAAAGCTCGGTTGGTACCGCTATGAAAGCTCGCACGCTTTTGCTTCGCCGATGAAAAATCCTCCTTCGACACCTTCATAACTCCCAGGGTCGAGTTTTCGATTTTGATCGATGGCAACGCTGTGGAGGTAACGCGATAACTCGAGCAGTCGATACTTGCTGAGGACTTTTCCTTCGTATCCGTATCGTCGATGTTCGCGTCCTTCGATATTTGCTTAAAATAAGAAGACAATCTTGATAGAGCAAAGAGACAAATTATGTTTGAATTTTAAGTGAAACATAAATGAAAAATTTTAAACGATCAATTCTATGGAATTTCGATCAGATGTAGCAACCAATTGTACCTCGTTCGAGTGTTCCTTTTCTAAATCAGCCTTTCGCGTATTTACAGAGACTTCGTTTTCTCCCAAAATTTGTTTGTCGTCAGTGGAAGGATGTAAAAATTTTTCGTCGCATCTCCTCGAAGTAGTCGAATTATCATTCTCTGATAAACCTTCTATTGATTTATCAATAATAATTTTCTCGATTTCTTTTCCTTCCTTCTCATTTTGCGTTTTATAGTCATCAGGAGATATTTCGATTTTAGGCTCGTCTTCCTTTCGTACAGGAGACGATGCATTAGTGTGATTGGACATTTCAGACTCGCATCTCTCGTCCACAATCTGACGAGCTAGAAAAATATTAATATTGGCTTTATTCCTCTCACGATATTCCCAAGCGAGCCTCAGCCTCTCCGCTAGTTCTAATCTAGAATAAAGGATCGTTGGTTTCTCAGTGCCGACGAGACCTCTCGATCTTCCAGTAGTGGATCTGGATCGTCCTGGAATTTGACGAGCCACCACTTCAACTTGCCCAAGCTCTTCGTTCTTTTCGTTCTTTCGACGGTTTTCCTTCCAGGCAACGCGAACCTGAAATTTGTCAACAACTAGATCGTAGATTTTTAATTGACATCGTTACTGTCGAAGATGATGGATTAAAAATTAAGTCATCGAATGATCAATTTCTTCTTTGATCGTGCTTTTAAAAATATAAATTTATATAAAAATTCGCAGTCTAGGCGATCATCTAAATTTCAACGATACCAGTCACGGATTAAGCGAAGTTTAAAAAAAAAAAAAAAA